ATTTGCAGAAGTTAGTACAAGTAGCAAGCAAGGAGTCTTACCATGGGCTTGCAGGCAGACGGAGATATGGGCAGATGCAATACAGGAGACAGCACACAGCAAACAGCATGGCACAGAGGCAAAAATGGAGTGGAGAAATAAAAAGCAGTTATTCTCCTGTTTTGGGTAAGTAGGTCTAGCCTAACAGTAACTACTTACCTGCTGTGAATGGAAAGGCCTTCACAACACAGATGCACAAAACCTTGAAAGCAGCTGGACCTCCACTGGGTTGGTACATTGACCTGGCTAATGACCAGCCTCTCTTTTGCCCAGGAGATGCTTGTGTCCCACACAAGCACAGACACAAGCCTGGCTGCACGACAGAGCTTGTGCATGTGAAGGCGTTTTAAAATATGGCAGGTAATTGAACCGTCCTGCTACAGATGGAAACTTGTTCTGTCCTTTTTCTCAACCTTTTGGTCAAGACTTCAACAGAAACAGGTTTTATTTTCCTGTGCCCCAGCTACTCTGGGAATTCCAGGAAGATGCATTAAGCAAAAGTTAACCTTTGTTTTTTTATTTTCGCTATTGAACATGCTTTTCTCTCTGCTGAAGCAGTTTTATTAAGGAATACTATAATTTCCTCTGTTTGCTCTAGCTGACAGCTAGTGAAACCTGATCCTGAAACAACAGAATTGGCTGAAGTAGCAATGGCAGCATCTATTGCTGTATAAGAATCTGGCAACAAGTGCCAGCATGGCTAAAACATTCTCCCCAAAAATATCTGTTTGGGAGGATGTCTCTTCCGAAGATTTCTTTGTTATGTAAACAGGTCTTTGAGGAAACCATCCCTTTCTTAGCCTCTCTGGGTAAAGCCAGAGCTCCAACATTCCCGTTCAGTTGTGCAAGAAACTCATGTATTTTATTTATATTATTATACTTATTATTTATATTGCTATATTATTAGCAGTTGAAACATTTATCTGAAAACACTTGTTCCCAATCAAGTGTGGGTTCAGGATAAACCACATCTTCAGATTCCATGGGCAGCTCCTGAAAAACCTGTGGCCCTGATGACACAGTGCAACTCCAACAGCTTGGAGTGCCTGGTCTGATAGTTCTCAAATACAAGTGCCAATTCGCATTAAGGTTTTTTTTTTTTTTTTTTTTCCCCCCCCCCCCCGAAATATATATATAAAAGAAAACTGAGGACAACCATTCTGCACATTGGCCAAACCAGATGTCACGACTCTCTTTCGAGAATTTATTGTCTTAACTCCACCACTTTCCTCTCCCACCACCTAGAATTTTGCAAACCAGCCCACAAAGAAAACTGCATCCCATCCATGAGCACCACACAGCCCCGAGGCTCTGCAGGACAAACCTCAACGGACTCTCCAGTTCTGGCAACCGAAGCTAAACACACTTCATAGGGCAGCAAAGGGAGGCAGTTTGGTGCTGAAGACTTATATCTCTCTGAATATGACAATAAGCAAAATTCTTCACAGATGCAACCTCACCCACATCACGTACCACTGAGCAAAAACAAAGTTCTTGAACTACTGAAATAAAACCCCTATGATAACTAAGGAGGAAAGCACACCGCCTGAAAATTCCTTACCCTCCTCATAGTGTGTAATCTGGAGTTAAGCTTCCAGGTTGGACTCCCCTTTGCCCCGAGCTCCTGTTTTTGGCTTTTCTGATTAGCTAATATCTCCATTCTAGTATCTGGGCCAATAGGTCAGATATCACAAAAGTAAGATGGGTATCTAACCCACGGGAGCAAATAGATGAAAGAGGAGGTTTGTGCCCACGAACTGAAAAACGGGAAACCACATCAACCAAGTGGTCAAACATTTGCAAGCCTGAGAATGAGCCTGAGTGCCACCCAGGGACAAGTTTAGATACCGTCCCAATAGTGAGGCACCCAAACAGCTAATGAAAGCACAAGGTAGAAAGGTCAGTGCTATCCCCCTGAGTAATATGTCCAACAACAGGAAAGAAAGTCCAGGGAGCAGCTACTGCTGAGCCCATTTCCCTTTTCCCTTCCCTCACTTATCGAAGTAGAGACCAGAGGGTATAACATCCAGCACTGGCTTTGTGTAACGGGGCTCGATGATGCTGCAATGCTGGTCAACACCAGTAGAAAGCAGCTTCCCAGAGACCTGATGCCAAAGGCTTGTGTGGCAACTGGGGAAGCATCCATCTGCAGTGCTGCTGGTCTCCAGTATTCCAAGGAAAAGCACAAAGTTGTTCTGCAAGAGCATCAGACGTGAGCTAACCAAGTTCACTGATCACTTAATCCGACAGTAATTTATGTAACAGATCGGGTGCTTTCTGCAGGGACTGGTCTGAGAGGAGGACTAAGTCATTAACTCGAACTAATGGAAGGACTGAAAAGCATCTATAAACTGAACATTGCTGCTAGTTTTGCTTGACAGACTCTAAATCACTGGCTTTTCAGAAAGCTATCGCAGAGCTCTCAGCAGACATTTGTCAGAACTGACATCACCAGATATCACAGCTGCCAGGCAGATATTTTGCCCCACAATTCACCTGTCCCAAGGACAATTTCAGAGCAATTTTGTTCTGTGCACATGACTTTCATGCAAGGCTTGCCCAAGGAAACGCGCTCCTGGTTGAATATTTGTTACTTTCTATATAGAAGTGCCACCCCTTGCACTCGTGGGCTTTTCTGCATGCAGTCTCCATATAAACATATACGCACATAGAGTCAAGGAGTAAAGATACAAGGATCAAACTGATGAACATCAGCTCTAAACATTCTGACCAAAGTGCTGATTAGCTGATTAGCACAGACTGTTGCCCCCAGTTTCATGAAAGAGCAGCAAACACTGTCTGCCCAGAAGGTGTTTTAGTGCATCTGCAAGAAGCCCCAGCAAGTCTGCGAGTTTATTTCCTACTTTTCGAAGCCTAAACCACAGAAAGTAGCCGAGCAATTAGTGTCTGAGAAAGTGACACCTGCATACATCTAAGCACACCTACGGACCCGACTCCTGCTCCTCAGGAAACAAGTGATGCTGCTGGGCCTTAGCAAAGAGCACAGCCAGCACCTGCTCGGAAATGTTTCTGCTCATTCGAGCTCAATGCAGGATGTTTCCAAGGGGAGAAAAGCTAGATTTTGCAAGCCTAAGAGACTACTAGCTTTGGAACAACCTGGGAGAATAGCAGTATATAGATATGGGCCAGAGCAAGACTTTTTACTTTATATTTTGCTAAATATACACAGATTTCATAGAATTTGGGCTCATATGTGCTGTTTTAAGTCAAATATCTCCGAGTAAGCAGCTTGATTGTAGCAAGTATTGAAAGTTACAGTCTAGGAAACACCCAAAATCCTCAAAAGTGTGGACCATGAGCAGCAACTTCACACTGGCAGCTAGTCTCTCAGTTTGCAAGCAGAAGCCAGAGCAGCTTTGTCTGATTCTTCCCTAAGTTTTCCTCAAAAGCTGTTAAGAATATTTAAGTTACAGCTGGAGCCACCTCTGTTACAGAAGTCATCCCACCTGATGGACATGAGGTCCTTATCTTTGCTCAGCACCTAGTCTTGCAGCCTGAAACCACAGCATTTAGCACTGTCTGATGTAAATATAGATCTCCACTGAAGTCAACACTTACCAGCAACATCATAAAACTGAGTGCCGAGAGCTGCTAGTTGATCACTGCATAATGCACATCTCAATTTCTGCTACAAATTAATCTTTAAAAATTATTAAAAAAAACCTAAAAGATGTCAAAAAAACATTGGCAGTGAAAACAGAAAGAGAAACTAGTGCCTACTTAAGGCAAGCACTGGATGGCTACAGGAATTTTCTTTCCCATTGCTTCTCAGGGAATTCTGTTTTTCACACAGATTAAAGATCCCAAGCTCAACCCATCCAACCTAGGGGTAGGCACAGTGGCCACTGTCTTCCAAAGGAGGAACCCTCAACTGCAACGTTGTAACACAGAGGAAAAGCCCTCAAACTCTGTATACAAAACATAACCACTGCTTTATCTTCAGAATTACAGCAAAATTGTAACAATAGCAATGAATTGCAAAGAAAAACCACTCTTTCCAAGGATCTGCAGTCCAGTCTTCCCAGCTAGAAAGTAAAAGGAGTTTTAGCCTAGCAACAAGGAGAATCAGAGACAGAAAGAGTATCAGAAGTCCAGCTTTCCATACAGTCTGGGGGGAAGGAAAAAAACAAAACAAAACAAAATATTACCTTCTTGCATTCACTGGAAAAAGGTGAAGTCAGCTTTTCCCACAGGAAATACAAACATATGCTTTACTAGAATGCAGACACCAAAGAGCAGAGAATAAACCATTTAAAAACGTTTGGGGAATTGAAGCATACAGTCTTTGCCTGTTCTAAAACACCTGACCCCAGAAATGCTACAAATCTGTCTTCAACTCACACATAGCATATTCTACCAACTGTATCCTGAGGAGCTCTTTTAGCAGGTTGTCAGAGTTCGAATGGTTGATTTGAGAGGGAAACCAACACATCCCCATGCAAATGGGTAGCTTTCTTAAAAATTCTTAAACATTCTGCTATTATAGAAGTATTGTGCAGTTTCACTGCATTAAATCACAAGCTATATCTCATTTAGAAAATGGTTAACAAAAGAAGTTAAAAGTATGAGAATTTGGCATACTTAAAGTGAAAAAAAAGGCCCCCCCCCCCCGCCCTCAAACACTGCTGGCTGCACTGGATGTCAAAGTACTTTGAGAAACGAGAACAAATAGCAGGTTTCTGATCAGGGCAGAAACATTTAGAAAATTAATAAATGAATTATCAGCATGTTCATTTACAGTGCTCTATTACTGTACACACAGTTTCCCGTGCAGATAAGTCTTAAATCACACTAAAAGCAAAATGATCTGCTACACATTAAAGGAGACCATACAAGGCATCTGTAGCTTATGGCTAATAAATATGTAGTACACAAAGTCTCCCATGTGTATATGAGTAACAACTAGTCTTGAACAACCAAGTGTATTCTCTATTTCTCACCTGATCTTCCTCTTCGTCTTCTTCATCTTCTGCCAAGCGCTGTCTGCCCACTTCATATAGTCTGCAAACTGTATCCATGTTCATGGCATCCATGCTCCCTTGATTCTGAAGGGAAAACGCCCACAATACAGCAATTAGCTCCCAAACGATGTTCTACAGTCGTGTTCAAGGATGTGCCAGATCTCAGCTACAAAAACATTACCAAAAAAATCTCCACTTTTAACTTTTCTTTCCCCATTTGCTAACAGCAGCATGATTAGCACTAAAAGAAAATGACTCCCTCAGCTTCAAACCCCAGCCCAGCAGTGATATAAATACTTGCTTTGTGGTTGTCTTACACTTTTATTAATAAGACTCAACAAAACCTTTACTAGATCTTTAACACATCTTGGATTTTCCCTTTCCTGCATGCCCTGCAGAGCAATTGCAGCTACTGTAGGTATGAACGTGATCTGACTGCTGGGGAGGGAATAGTTTTATAGAAATGTTTCCCAGCATTTCCAGGGGTTCCTGTAAGAGCAAATTTGTGCATCTTAGCCTCACCACTTTAGCCACCTCAACTTTAGTATATAAAAGAGAAGCTTGTCTTACTGCAAATTCTTGACCTGCCCTTTTAGGTCTGTAAAGACCACAGGTCCAGTGGTTTACAGAATATTATGCATACAGGATTTTAAGCTAGTCGCTACAGGTGCAGAGCATTTCATTAGTCAGAGAAGTAGATACATTAGTTGCATCTACCCTCCTAACAAACCAATTTTTTTCACTCAGTAATTCTTGCTGCAAATCCTTAGCTTCTGGGAAAACATTGCTAGGAAGACAAGTGAAATAAGAATGTATTAAGAGGGATTCAGAAGAAAAGCTCTATGGGAAGCCCCAAAAAGATTGCATTTCCCAGGTATTTGATATAATACCAATTTCAAAAGAAAGTTGACCCTATAAATCAGAAAAAAAAAGAATTTCTCTATGCTTACAAGGAAAAAACTTCTTCTGTAGAAAATTCAGAATAAAGTGAGAAGTGTTTGAAGAAGGGAGCTAAACGGGTTCTGGAGTCTGCTGGATCAGAGACAGAAAAGCAAGTGTTTTTAAGCCAAAGCTGCAGGTGGACAGTGAGAAACTAAGAGCACCTTCTCTGGGTAACACCACTGCATAAGACCTGAATATAACAGCAGGAACTCCAGAATCATCAGTTTGGAAGGCTTTCAAAACCCAAAAAGCATTGCTCTCAGACCACAGCCACCAGAAGCAGTGCTTATTCTTAGCGCCCTTACCTCAATAACAGCCAGATAGCAATCCTTGCTGTCCGTGCACAAGTCAAAGATATTCCGTTTTACATCTATGGTAGCTAGAAAACACACACACAAAAAACAACAACTGGGTGGTTAAGTGCACGTATTTAACACTTAATAAGAGACCTAACATACATGTCTAAAAGCAGATCCTAAATGATGCAAAAAGTAGCAAGAGCTGAAATAAAAGTGAAAATATCTGCATTGAATTCAACCCCCCCAAAAAAAGCAAATAAAAAGCCACAGAAGTGTTGGAGACTGCCATAAAAATAATTTGATAACTTCTTAATCTAGTTTCCACAGTGCCTCCTCCCTTGATAATACATTTAGTGGCTTCTCTCAAGTACTGAAGTACTGTAAACAACAGATAGTCTTCTAGGGTAGGTGGAAACTAAGAGACTGAGTTTTGAGCTGTGTTTCATTTCAATAGCAGAAGTCACATCTGTTTATGTCTGTAACAGCAATTAGTTTAGCTCTCCAAGTTTAGCTGCAGGCCAAAGTGACAGCATTTTGAGTTAGCAGCATTTGATACAGCTGATGAGAATAGGAAAACAAAATGAAAAAGGCCCTTCATGAAACATGATTAATGATACCTTGGCCAAATGACCTACTATCTTAGATTATGTCCTACTTGGAAAGGAGGAAGGAAAATAAAGCCAGAACTTCTGACTAGTAGCTTTTTCAGCAAGCAAGGAAATCCACACTGAAAAGACACTATATAGATCAGCCTATTTCAGTGTTAAACACAAGCCTTGTGCCTCCATCAGGGCATGTCATAGCAGAGCTGATCCTGCTGCATGCAAAGGGGGAGGAGGAAGTGAGTGTTAATGAGCAGAACCTTCAAACCCACAGGCCAAGCTCTCTGCTCCTCCTTCGCTCTTACCTATCGGTTTATAATCAGTTGCATTGAATGTCCTGAAAGAAGAGCCAAAGGGACTTCTCATTCTCTCCTCCAGAAGGTCATCTTCATCATCTGCCTGCAACATAGCTGAAACAAGCAAAAATTAGTCCACAAGCCCATCTTCCGTTTGTAATGCTACCTTTAATCAAGCATATCAGACTGATATGAATTTCATTTTTACCTAATATTATTGGAAGACTCATTTAATATCTACTCTTCCAGAGCTGCCTGCCTTAATATTGCAGATTATTAAAGCTAACACCCAAAGGACAAAATTATTTTCTCAAGGATCATCAGATCTGCCGTTACATACATTTTCCTTTTCAATAGGTTGGTTTTTAATCTCAAAAATGAGTTGTGGTATCACTGAAGTTAGAGAAAGCAACCCAAGGTTCATTTCCTTTCATCAGAAATCTAAGCAGCACTAATTATGAAAAAAACTCTCTCTATTCATTCTCTCTTGCCATATATATATATATATATACATACATGTGTGTATATATATATATAGAGAGAGAGAGTTATAGTGCACGTCAGTACAGCCTAAAGTTAGACAAACTCTCTGAAGCTTCCAATTTCACTGAACAAGCATTTAAGTTATAGTCAAACCTTGTATGCGACACTCTCACAGTGCTGCTGCATTGACTACAGTCACTTGCATCAAGCAGACTGCATGGCACAGCCCTCAGCTGCAAGGAGCTGGGGTCTTGCCTGTTCTATCATAAATAAGTGTGAGTAAAAGGAAAAAATAATAATAATAATAATAATAACAGAAGCAGACATGGTCAAGGAGAGCTATGTAATGCTAAGAGAATCCTACCTCCATACATAACTGTGCCAGTATAGTTGAAGACCACGCGACACTGATCCAGTGCAGGTACCGTGTGTAGCAAATGGAAAGTTCGGAGGTCCCACTGAAGAACACAGGCTAAGGAGCACAAACACCTGAAAAGTTCCCATCACCTTTGCAGTTCAGTGTTAAACAACTGATAAACAGCACTCGGGAAACCATGTGGCCATCCTCTTGCAAGCATGATAAAGCCTGACTCTCATTTCAGCAGTGTAATTCCTTAAATATGTTGAAAATCAGGATTTTTTTTTTTTACTCAAATGTCATTCCCAGTTCTTAGAAGTTACTGCAGCAGCTTCAGGGTACATCTTGGCGAAGGAAGGAAAGGGAAGACAGCATAGAGACCACACAGTGTATATGGGGAAAGGGAATCTCTCCCAAGTATTTCCTCTAAGCCATGTCAGGGGCAGAGTCTGCATTTAAATTAGCACCTGTTTGACAGCTCCTACTTACTCAACTCACAAATGAAGTTGTCGGTACTATGTAAAATTTCTAGCACTGCAGAACACCTATACAAATCCTGCAAATAGCTACTGATTTAATCAAACCAAGTTCTTCATGTCCCACCACTATCAGTTACCACTGTGGCTGAAGGATACAATTTCAGTGTTGACTATGACCTCTAGCCCATTGGGATGGAAAACACCACTGATGGTCATGTTGAATTTGTCAAATTTGTGTATGGCTTGTGCCGATCTGACATCCCAGAGGACACCGTCATTTAGGACGAGGTCATCAGTGGGGTTGAAGGTGGCACAATTCTTCTTGTAGTTGTTGGCGAGATCTGGGTTAAACAGAGTCAATAGCTTGTTGCCCGTCTGAATATCATAGATCTTTTAGATTAAAAAGAAAACAGAAAGATTAGTCACGATGGGTAACGTATCAGTAGCTAAAAACACCCCATGTTCCCCCTTCTAGTTTGTTTCTAGAATCAATCCAGTGCTTTTTCATTTCATAAAATCCTTCTTGCCAGCCCTTTAATAGTTTTTCGCAGCTGCAACCAAGTCTTACAAAATGTTTTGGGCAGTACTCAGTTTACTGCATGTTGCCAAAATATTTCAACAAGGCTAGGACTAGCTCCAAAAACACATCCAACCTCATTGTGAAAAGTGGGTTGGGGAAGCTCCAGACAAGAGGTACCACTTAGCCAGAGTCTGTTTCAGAAACAGAACGGCTTTTAGAGCAGATGGTGTATAATAACATCAAAACTCTCTCTCAAAAAAAAAAAAAAAAAGCCAGAAACTAGGGGAGAGGACTTACACGGAGGAAAGTTCTCCAGCATTTATTTATCAGACAAGCACAACACGCTGATCCAATAAAGTTTAAAACTGGGCAATAACAGATAATTTGCTTAAACACAAATATTTAAGCGAATCAAGAGCAATAAATAAAATAATGAACAATTTGAATAAATTACGCTTCATTAGAATATCTTTATGTAAATGCTCTGTCAAAAAGACAGTGCCCACAAGCAATGCAAAGTAGCATTGCAGAGAAGCAGTCAGTTTCTGAAGCCTGAGTCTGACTGATTTGCAGACACTAGGACAAAATATTACAAGAGCATTCTCTGAACCAGTAAGTTTAAATTGATGACAGCTGTAAATTACAACAGGAGCAAAAGAAAAACACTTTCCATAGCCCATTTTGCTCAGCTGTTGACCAAGTGCCATTTAGGTGGAATGATTTTTTTAATTACCGAAAAACATGGCAAGAGAGGCAATTTAGAAAAAATAGTGTCCAGCACAGTTTCTCTCAAATGAACAGATCAAAATAAGCAGAGGCAACACATATAAGGCATATATTCACTGCACAGCCCATGCAGGGAGAAACTGCCACACTCTTTCAAAGCATCTCTTCTAAAGCCTCTTAGTTCACCAGTTACAGCACCAAAACATCAACAGGTCTGTTGATAAATGCTCTGTGATGGATGTATTATTGTCCCAGCTTCACAATCAAGACCACTGTTCATACTTACATGGGCAATGTCCCCTTTTGTGCCAATGACTCTGTCCTGAGAGTGCTTGCTGAACTCCACATAGTGGTCATCAGGGAAGGAATGCCTGTAGATAAAGTTGGGGAGAAAGTCAAGGAACTGCAGAGTCAAACTCCTTGTGAGAGCTGGATGCTGCCACACCATCTGCAGCAGGGGCTCCAATGATACAGAAAAAAAACCCCAAGCCCTGATATCTAGAATAGGCTTTTCTACCCCATTGGCATACTCGGAAATCTATTTATCACAGTCACATAGCCTTTACATGTCAGTAAAAAACACAAGCAGCAGATCCCAAGAGCTGCGATCAAGTTACTACTGCAACAGCATCTACCATGGATGCAACGTTTTATTTGCTGGAGCAAGCAATGCACAGTAATATGAAAAGGAAAAAACACACGCAGGTCTGAGGCACACTAATCTTTCTGAAACATAATATACATTGGGAAAGTTGTGTTATACTCTCCTTTCAGAGTTTCTTCTTTGGGACTCTGCCTATTCTAATTGCAGTAGAGGCCACAGTGGGATCAGGGGATACCTACTTCATATCAAAGACAGACTTCATTCCCCACAACGCAGACAGAGGTTGGCTCCACGTAGCGGATGTCAGCAACAAAGATCCATCCTGGATTTCCAAATGGAAGTGGTGGGAAGGACGAGAAAATAATGACAAAGAAAACACAAGTTATCATCACATCTATACATTTTAAGTTGGCCCTACAAGACGAATTCAAGAACGACAGCAGGTTTGGTGCTCACCTCTCTTATGGGACTAGACTGATTTTACATACAAACACAGACAGCCCTTGCAGACAGAAAGAAATTATAGGTACCAAAGGAAAAATCTATGGTATTGATAGTATATAGAAGCAAGATAACTCAAGTCTAATATGCAACTGTGAGTAGAGCTCACTTTATTATAAATCATATTACTTGTACTTCCTCCTAGAACCTTCCCCCTCACCGAATTCCTTTCTACAACAAAGAACTGTTATAAACTCTGATATCTCTCCTAAATACATTGCCACTTAAAGCATTTCTCCCATGTCCAGACACACGTGTTTATTATTTACAAAAGCACACAGCCACCTTGCATCTTTTCTGTTTTGTTGGGAAGAAAAAAAAGAATCTCTAGAAACCACAGAAAGAGAACACAGGACTATTATATTGCTCTTGTCTCTAGTACTTTTATGACAGGTATTTCAGGCCAGCCAACTTTTTGGATTTACGTATCGAAATGGTTCTAAAATACAACCAGGTTTAGGCTTTGACGGTTTCCAAAACTCAGGTGGTCTTCAGCTACTTACTCTGGATGGCTCAAGGTGCGTGATGGCAGAGTTATGGCAATTGTAACTGGCCTCTTCCTGTCCACTGAAAACATTGTAGAGTTTCAGCTGCCCTGTGCAAGTACCCAGCATTAAAAATCGTTCCCGTGCAGAAAACGCGCAGCAAGTAAAGCCACTTTCATCCTCATTTGCTTCCCGAAACACAGAAATTGGACGGAACCTGAAGAAAGAAGAAATACAAGGGTGAGCCAAAAGGTAGGAAAAATGAACTGCTACATGATGATCTTTGGTCCAGTCTGTAAATGTTACATAGCTAAAATCACTGCTTTTCTTCTGGGGAAAACAGTGTCAACTATAAGTCAACTGCTCGTGTGACTATATGGTGCTTGCTATGTTTCAGGGTTCGTCTTGCATGATTTAAGTACTTCTGTTATAGCACATCACTACACTGAAGCACTTGGGAGTCTGTTGTTGTTGTCGTTGTCTGTTGATGGCTTGTGGGAAAATCTCTAATGCTGTCACCTGGAAAAATGCATAGCTAGCAAAAGACTTCTAACTGTCACAAAACGCTCAGAGCAACAAGGCACCAGCTAAAGGCATCAGCTAAATAACCTGTCATCATCATGTTCAAGGTGATGCTGGTTTTACTGCAAAGATTGTTATCTCCAGTGTAATCCCAGGAAAGAAAAGCCACGTAGAAAGATTAGCAATTGGCAGCGCTGCAGGCTAGTCTGCAAGGGCAAGAATAAGGATCCTGTTGTCATCTGTTTGCCAGCAGGTCTGGGTCTGCTAGCCAAGCAACCTCGAGGCCATGCTCTGTCTCTCTTGTACAATTAGCGCTGCGTACTTACCGCCCAAATGGGAACACAGAGCCAGCGCTTTCCTGGGCTAATGTCACTAACAAGTTATCATGACCCTGAAAATGCAGGTGGCTACTACAGGTACTAAGAAGTAGCACTAAGGAGCAAGAGAAACAGAAGAGCTTCCAAAATTGCCTCTAGCAAAGCTCTCCCAGTCGTCACGGTCGAATGAGGACACTCGTGAGTCCAAGGAGACGCTGCTGTGGGACGACTCAGCCCGAATCCAGGCAAGGCTTTTTGGCTCAGGCAACACTCAGAGGAATCAAGAAACAATTTTCTTCCTTACCTGCTAAAGATAAGGTGTCTATCAAAGCAGCCACCATCCACCCCTCCGTACTTCGGAAAGGCTGCCCTGCGGGTCAGCCGTGAGGTAAAGTTAGTTGGCGCTTGGCGCCTCTGTTTTGGCTCAGGACACTGGTGGGGAGTAAAGAGAGAGAAAGGGGGACAGGTAGCAACAGGGTTCTTGCAGCGGGCGTGCTGCTCCCTAAGGTACTCTGTGATTATACTGTCCAGCGTGGGCGGGGAAGGAAGGTGCCTGTCCAGCTGCTTTTTGATAGCTGGGCTCTGGCTGTAGGCGCCATGGTCCGATTTTTGTCGCAGCACTCGGATTTTCCGGCCGTTGCAGGGAGACGGCCGCTCGCGGACAAAGCTAATCCTGCCGATCAGCGGGGAATTGCTGGCGTAAGAAGGGCCCGGCAGGGCAAGCGGACCCTGGGATGCCGACGGCCTCGCCTGAGCGTGGACAGAGGCGGCGGTGGAAGCGACAGACGCGTGGCTGTTCAAGCGGGCCGAAATGCCGTTAGCTATGCGGGGAGCGCGAGGCAGGGCCACGGGGGAGGCAGCCGCCGCCACGGGGGGGGAGGCAGACGAGGAGTTGGACGCGGCGGTCATGGGCAGGTCGGTCTCCTTTGTAAGGATGGATGCAGTTTCGCCCAGGCCCTTAGAGATGAGATGGTTCCGAATGAGGAGCAGCAGCTCCTTCTCGGGAAACGTGATCCTCGACTGGGCCACCACATCCGCTTTCTGCAGCCGAGCCAGGGAGACATCCGTGCCAATGAGCAAGGGCTTCCCTGAGACGCGCTCGATGAGCTCCGCCGCGTATTTGCAGAACTTGACATGCTCGCTGCGCTTGTCCTGCAGCACGGGCTCCTTCATCAGCTGCTGAATTTGACAGCTGCTGAAGAGGGGCAGCTTGCTGATGATCTGCCGGACAGTACTGCTGCGCGAGAGCCCCACCAAGGCTTTGCAGGCCAGCGCTCGGATCTGATCAGCATCCGTGATGGGCATCTTGATGGACAGCAGAGACAGCAGCACTTTGATGCCATTGTTGGACTGCACCACGTTCCACATCTTAGCCAGCGTGTGCTCGCTGCTCTTGGCCTGAGGAAGCTTTCGCCGAGGAGTCCCAGAGATGAATTTGCCAATACTAGAGATGCGATTATCTGGGCCACACACACAGTTGATGATGATCTGAAGGGCTGATTTCTGAATCTCCGCATCGTGGATGAAAAATTCACCCTCGGCAACTCCAAGGATGATGCTAATACCTAGTGAGAGGGAAAGAAATACTTTAATACTCCAAACTTATCCTACACAGTTCATCAGACAAGGGGAGTCTTCTACAAAGCTGAGGAAAATGTAATTCACATTTGTTCTGAGACCTTTTAAAGGCAGATTTTTCCTTCCAGCTAGCCTCAAAGAGATTTTTATATATCCCTAGCAAAACATTTTCCTTCACCGATGCTCCTCTGCTTCATCATGAGTAAGCAGGGAATCAACATAACCTGTCAGGAGGGTGTTCAGGCACAGCCCAGGTTTGCAGTTTGAGACACAACGAAAGATGCATGAGCATGTCTCTGATTCCCGTTATAGAAAGCAACTCTTGTATAAACATTAACGAGGTAGAAATGAAGGGAAAGGAGACCTTATTATGAAGAGAACAATCACAACAAAAACGCCACCACTTTCTAAGCAAGTCAAGGGAAAACAAGACCTAGTACCGAAATCACTGCCTTCTACAGCTACAGGGACCCTGTTCTTTTTGTGTTCATTTCAGGTCAAAAGCTTCCTCCAAGAAAGGGAAGTCTTCATGAAAAACAAACTGCCTCCCACCTACATGTAGTACTCCCCATTTCCACCTTTCCCTGTCCCCTCCTTAAATAAGTTAGGCCCCATTGAATGCACAGGACTTGGATCTGATCCAGCCACATCTCATTCATTTGCATACTGAATCTGCAGGCAGTCAATTAAAGAATAACTCAAACACATACGTAACAGTAATTATTCCTCTCCCATATTCCCAAATGCCATATCCTCAGGAGATCTAAATTTCTGGAAAGCTGAAGGAACCTAATAGTCCCATTACAAAAGGGGATTTGCCTGCATTTGTATTTAATGAGGTCTTGGAAAACAACTGAGTCCAAGACCATAGTTTCAAATTTAAAAACCAACCACAGCGCCAATCATGACACCATTTTAAACCACAGTCTGCCCTGCTTTTCATTTGCATCTCTGACAGTAACTCTGAACATATGAATTATTTTAGGCCTCATTCCACTGTAGCTTAGAAGCAACCACCTGAAATTGCATTTAGAAGACCACTAATAAACCACTTTCAGCTTACCCACGGTGGAAACGGTAGATCCAGCTTCATCTAATACATCCACAGGTTCCGCCAGCTGCAGCTGGATTTTAGGAACCACAGTCAGGATAGCCAGTACATCCAGAGCGTATCTTACCGTGTCATTCCTGCAAGATGATAACAAAAGAATTTCTTAAACGCGTATACGTTTAGAGACATTTCAACAACGTAAAACTGTGCCCAATCTACCCTAGTTCAATAACAACAAGAGTAAATCAGTTGCATCAGAAGTTTCTGAAGGTTCCTTTTGGTCTCCTTTTCCATTCTAAAAGCAGTAACCCAGAAAGAGGAGAGGCACGAGAAATACAGGCTGACATCCTAGGCACGGTGGCAGGGTCCTTTGGGGAGGAAGTTTAGGGAAGGACATGGGGAATGAAGGCAGTGGCACAAACCCTATGCTCTGTGGAGGGAAGGGGAAGGTTTGACTTAAGGTGGCAAGGTGGGAGTTAAGTGCGGCAGCAATTAGGAACGAGCTGCTGGGAACAAGAGAGAAGAGAACAGGAACTACCCAGGAGAATGCAACCTGAGAAACAGTACGAGGCAGGGGACTGCAGAAGCAAAACAGATTTCAAGAGCTTTCAAGGACAGGTCGGCAAGGAGCTCCTGCAGATGGCAGGGATGGGGAAGCAGCGGCGATGAGCACCCGGCTCAACAGCTACCTGCAGCAGACACTGCCTCACCAGCCAGCCTATCTCCAGGGAGGACTACACCCTCACCCCCGGGGCAGACGTTCATCAGGTAAACAGAGGCAGGAACCTTGTAACCATCCCCCCTGTTGAAGCGGGGATGGGATCTTAATGTTTTCCTATCAGGGCCTGGGGTAGCACAGTCTCTTTTTGGTTAGCAATACGGATGCTGAAGATTTGGGAGAAGGAAGGAAAAAAGGAAGGAAGGAAGCAAAGAGGTGCCATGCAGACATAACAAACCATCACGGTGCCCTCACAGTACATCTGTGGCCAGGACAGCAGAAAAGATTGAAAAGCAACATGCCAAGGTGAACTTCTCTACAAACTCATTGCAGGTATTTCAACGAGAGACTCTAATCCTAGCAAAGCAAGATAAACAACCTGCAACCCCTTTCTCCTCTCTCTCTCACTCTGGCTTGTTGCCTACGACTCCTTCATGCAGTTTTATCTCCTCAGTAAACTTCAAACACCAACAAACCAGTGATACGCAATGTCCTTCCTTGAGCCAGCTAAGCTTGCGACATGCACATTGACATTCCACCCCCCTCCAGGATTAACACAAGCCTTGATTTCACACTCTGCTCTAGAAGTTTTCTAGTCTCTGACGATAACTCAATTAGTCCTTCAACAAAACGCTAAACAAACTGAGAGAGAGGAAGCAGCACAGAAGTGCAACTAAAGGCAACAAAGATGCAGATTCCAGAAACTTTGTGACATCCTCCTCTATCTCCCGAGTTCAATCCGCTTTTCCACAACATTTTATTTCACCAGCACTCGCAACTATACCACAGGTCCTGCCTAAGTATCCTAACCTGGATACTTTCCCTAACAGAGGGAGGAAACCTAGGAGTCTTGATGCCCTGCCTAAGAGCCACAACTTATTGCCTGAAGAAAGGCAGTGCTATGGCAAATGTTTCACCTTGCATAGTACGTCTTCCAGTTGCACGCTATTGAAATGAGCTGAAGCATGAGCTGCACACAGGACAACTTGAGGAAGACCTCGGCGGGCTCCCAGTAGAGCTGTGCTGGCCCATACTCGATGAGGAACTCCATCATCTCTACAATCTGCTCGTGAGTGTAAGAACAGGCCTGGAGGGAAAAGAATTACAAAGATCAAAGGCTACAAACATGCAGTTCTAGCCTTCGCTGCTGGGAGTTAACAGCATCCACACCAAAATAGAGAAGCCAGTGCTCTTTCTTGCAGATTACATACTCACTTTATGAGCTATTCTCCAGCTACAAAAAAGAAAAAGAAGCAACTGCCACTATAATAGGCAATAATAAGCTTAAGAATAAAACCCTCTAAGTTTCTTTGCTGCTAAAGAAAGGTTAGATGAACTTAGAGGAATTATATTAAAATTCCAAGCGGCTTTTAAACTCCTAATCTAGCAGTTAATAGACTGTCATTCAGGAGACAACTCCACTGAAGAATTAAGAGAGGCTGCAAAAACATTGAGTAACAGAGTTCCTGAGTTCCAACTTCAGCAAAAAATACTGAAGAAAAAGGGTATTCCTAACAAGTCTGCAATTCATCTCCGAGTCAAAATTCTGAAATCACACAAAATGACAACAGCTTTTACATGTTACTTTTTATTTACTGAAAACAAAGTGGTATTTTCACAGAAGCAGAAGAACCTCCATTTCATCAATTCAGCACTTCTGTAAAATCATCATAAACAAATCACAAATGATGGGCTCCCCCGGGACAAGCATCCAGAAAATTGTGTTTTTAAATATTTTTACAGGGAGAAGGGAGAGGAAAAAAAAAAAATAATGGCCAGTAAGCGTCTCATCTCCTTTTTTTAAAAAAAAGTGCCTTACAGACACATTTGTTTTGCCATTATCAAATGACAAGCACATATTCAAGTTTTTCTAATCATGCACTTATCTGCAACTGCAGAATATGTCCTTTCAGAGCTCAAAAGCATCTAAAAAAGTCCATGAGTATCAAAAATAACTTGGCTTTAACTTCAGTTTTTGAAATATGGTGGTAGAATTATGGGAGCAAAACAGGAACAATAATCAGATATAGTTTAGATGCACCTCAAAGGCTTTTCTACACATTTCCAATGGCAGTGACAGTCCAAGGAGAGGAGAAAAAAGCACAAACAAATCCTATAAATTGCACTGAGAAAAGGGCATCACAATATTAAAAGCTTGCAGTGTGCTGCTCACCTTGTAGGGGGGCTGCGGGTGGACGAGAATGCCACCCTCGGTGCGCTGAAGCGACTGCTTCACTTGCTCAAGTTTGATGGCCAGGTGAGCCTCAAAGTACCTGCGCAGGGCCATGCACGTGTGCTTCCCGGTCTGGCGACTGGCGAAGATCTCGTCGTCGCTCAGCAGGGCTCCTTGGTCTTCCAGGTTTAAGATCTCGAGCGTGCTTATCTACAGAAAGGATAGGGGTGTCCAACCTCAGCTCTTATGAGCACACCCAGCAGTACCATGCAGACAGAGCAGCTTTTGCACAGGAACTATGTAATTAGGTCTATAGGATGGGTGATTAATGCAGTGATGCTGCAGCACAGCGCAAACACAGCTGTATTTCTCCTCAAACCAGGCTGGATGTGTTGGGATCCAAAAGGCGTGTGGCAACACCACACTTGTATGTGGAACGGGAAGAAATATATGAACTATCTGCAGTAACTACATGTAAAAGGCAAAAAATCTGACATTACAACAGTGTTCAGCACCTAAGGTGGCCACAAGCCTTACCAGATTCACCAGCCGACGAAGGCCATCATGCCTGTCAAAGAGCTCCAGGACAGCACGGAAGGAGAAGCAGATGGAGAAGAACATGGTAGCATGGCAGCAGCCCGAGGCGTGGGAGCACTCCATGAGCCACAGCGTGTAGTTCACGACGTCCGAGAGCACGTTGTGGGGGTGCATGCACACCTAGGAAGCAAACGGCGGTGAGAAGGACAACAAACAGATTGCAAAAGAGAAATCAGTTAGTCCATGGAAAATGAGGGTTCTCGGAGACAAACGTCCCAAGCTTAGAGGGGAGTAACTGTTCTCCAAGAATTCCCGTTGACTCTGGACATACCAGGTTTCAATACATGGATTTGCTTTTTAGCTTAGAGATGTTTATTCCCCATTTGCACTTGGATAGGAAGCGTAAAGTCCCTCAAAACCATGGGAATCGCTACAGTTCTATTAAAAGAAAGTCTCCTACCCTCTCCATGGCATCTTGATTGTAGGACAAATAATATAAACACATGGAGACTCCCGTGGCTGCCATAGACGGACGTGGGATCTCCAGCAGTTTTTGCACCCCTCCATGAGCGACAAACTCCGTTGCAAACTTGTTGTGCAGCAGCAACGATGCCAAATGCTAAGGAAAGACGGACACAGGTTAGACTAGATTTCTTCCAACTGTTGCCTACTTTCCCTTCCCTGCAGGAAGGTGGATGGCAAAAAACAGCAGCACCTCAAGGAAAGACATAACAACCATTTCTCTTCAACCGATCACCTTCACCTGTTGCAGATTTTTGGGAATGAGCTGGTACAAACTGTAACTCAAGATGTAGCCCTTGCAGCAGTCTTGCTTAGGAAGCATTACAGGTTCAGAGAGGGAGGGTTATTTTGTGTTTTCATTTCTTGGAGGAGATAAACCACAGGTCGTGTCATATGAGCAATCATGTTTCAAACATCGAGCATGGATTTCATGCTGGAGCTTCTGGGAGAGAGCTGCTTATGCCTCATCCTTGCGATGACAGACCAAAGAATAACTTAGGAGTGCCACCTAAGGGCAGCAGATGCATGAGCATTTGGTAGAGAAAAGAATTTTTGCCATTTTCAGAAAGGTAGCTGGCAGGAGAAATTAATGGCACTTATCTTGCAATTAAGACCCTTTTATTCCCCCCTCCTCCCCCCCCCCCCCCCCCCCCCTTTTTTTTTTTTTTTTTTTTAATATTCCAGAGTTAAAGAAACACCCAAAGCATTCAAGTTGTGTCAAAGCCAATTGCAGTCCCCAGACAGCCTGCAAGATGCACAGGCCTAAAGGGGTGACCATTTGCCTTTGCCACATGCAGCTGATGCACATTCAGTGCTTCACAATGTTTAAAGCAAGTCTTTTTGCATTAAAGCAGATTACCTTAAGGGCTTCAAAAGTGAGCAGCACATCATTGGTTCGCTTCAGATCTATGTAGTACATCATCAGCTCTCTCGATCCCAGTTGCATAAAGATGGGCAGCAGCTGGGAAAAAATGAAATTAGGAGGCGAGCTAAACATTCCATGGGAAAGTTGAGGTCTTTTTTGTTTTTCCACTCTCTCAACCCCCCATTTCTCCCCTATTAGCAGATACCTGTTATGAGAGGTCAGTGGTAACCAGCTCCATCCATAGGAAGCAATAAAGGTTAACAGACCTCTTGTAATGCATCTGCTGACTGCAGTGAGGTGCAGCACAGCTGCCACACGCAAATCCTAAGACTCTCCTTCACGAGCAGCTATGGCAAATCCACACAGATCCCACCCTGGCGATAGCTTCCACTTTCCATCTGTGCAAAGACAACTACCAACAACTGAGCAGAAAAAACAGCAGCAGGGCAACAGAGCAAAACCCTTGCATAATTCTTTGTGTAACAGCTTTATAGCATTAATTCCTACTTTTCTATCCTATTATTGCTGGCATACAAAGGGATCCAGTCAGCATGCAGGGTATTAGGGGATAATGTTTCTTTGGCTCTCAGAAGCAGGGCACACAAGTGCACATGCACACACACACAAACGCATAGCACAAAGCAAAACTGTGTGTGTTGCTTCGCTCCTCCTCAATTCAAATAAATTCAGCTGGAAAAAACAATTAAGCAGATACACAGGTGGTCTGCACACCTATGCTAAAAGAAGGTTTATGGTAACATAAAAGGAAACACTCTTTGATTAATTTGATAGGGCTTTACTATTTTGTCCACACTCGTAACAGCAGTCCTCAAAGGTATCTAACATAAGCACAGCCAGTTCTTATCAGAACTGCTGCTGAGGTTCTACACAGGCCATTTCACTCAGGATTTTAGTTTCAGATTCCTCAGAAGTTTAATGTTGGAGTCCCTCAACTCTTCTAGAGTAACAAGGAAAAATGTCTGTATTTCAAATAAAGCAACTTGCCCTGTATCACATAAGCAATACTTGGAAGAACAGAGAACCCAGGAATAAAACTCCTGGTGTCAGGCTCGGGCTACCAGATCACACACCTGCTAGATTCCTAGCACCCTTATGACTTCAAGCAGTTTGAAAAATCATCATCATGACCTTAGGAAAGCCTACTGATCTCCAAGTGATGTAACAGTTCTCCAGACTCTTCCCTATGATACCACTGGTAGCTCCATCAGGATAACTCAAACACAGAGTTCTTCCTCCCACCTTCAAATGCTCACCTCTTGGTACTCCCCTAAGGGAGTCAGGTACTGAAGAATTAGTCTCTGCTCTATGGCAGGAGTCAAAGGGTAAAGTGTATAATTAGTGCCAATCACCCACGGGGACATTTCTGACCAGCTGCTGTTGGATAGTTCAACAAACATCCGCTCTGGTTCCGAAGTGGAGAAGCCCAGTTTTTGCTTGGCCTTCCGGAAGCCGTCTCTCTCGTGCTGCTTCCCTGACTTGCTTTTTCTCAGGCCCCCATCATCTAGTTTTGTGGCAGAGTTTACTCTGCTACTGGTCTTGTGACTCGAATCAAGATGAAAGGAGATCTCCATATCCCCAGCAACTTCCTCTTGCTCTCCGTCTACTGCCATCTCCCCGTAATCCATATCCACGGCCTCCTCATCCAGAGCCAGCAGAGGATCCGATGGCACTTTCCGAGGGCTGGGCCTCTTGTTTTCTTGTTTTGTAGTCATTTCAGTAACCTGTAACTCTCGCAGCCGTCGAAGCACCAAAGCCACCTGTTATATAAATAAGCAAGCGTGAACACGCAACTTGCACTGGTCGCATTCTTGCTTTTAACATAAACAACCTAACATAAAATATCAAGCATGCTGTGGTGCAGGAGTTGGCCCAGAGAAATGATGCTTAAATAACAAGATAACTCCAACCTTTTTTTGTTATAACTACTTTCACCACAAATGTGCACGTATTCTCCTTCTGACTGAGACACGGCGAGAAAGCCATCAAGAGCAGATCAGTTATAACGGTGCCAACAGGAGCAAATACCAATTGGCACCATAATCCCAACATCCCAGTCTAACCCTGAGTAATGTTCCCTTTGGAAGCAGTAGCTCTCAGGCTGCAATCCTACAAAACCTCAAGGCTTCTTTTCTATTCTTAGAGGCTTTACCTGCTCAAGAGTTAGATGAATTCACCTGTGTTTTGATGCTGTACAGCATCCGGAGAGCCATATTTGTCAGTCCTACCTGTTTCCAAGTCATTTCAATTGACTGCCTATTAATTCATGAATGGGAGCTCCACAACAACAACAACAGAGATATGCATATCTGTCTCTAAAGGAGAAAAGTACAGCAGTAGATCGTTACCAATTGCGAGTTCTCATCCCTGTAATTTGCAGCAATGTCTTGGTTTTCCATAGCTCCTCCCAGGAGCCCTGTTGCGTACGTCCTCAGGGGCTGATCAGCCTCGCGCGCCCATTTAAAGAGATTTTCAACTATGCCTTCCTAAAATGAGGAAAGGGAGAAAAATTCCAACAGTCAGACTTCCATTTTTCCTCCTTGGTGCAAATGAAAACATCTATTAGTAACGATTCTTCCTGTCTCAGCCCCAT